AATACTGCCTTTAACAGCATATACCATCCTTTGACAGCCTATTACAGCATTTGTCTGAATTCGAGAGAATAGGCCGTCTGTTACCAACTTATGACAGGCTGATAGCGTTCTTGACAGATGTCTGCATCATGTCGACATGCTGCAGACATGTCAGTCACTCTCTGTAGTGACTTTCAAGTCATGTTTCACTCTGTATAGAGCTTTATTATGTTTCACTCTGTATAGAGTTTAATCATGTTTCACTCTGTATAAAGCTTTATCATGTTTCACTCTGTATAGAGCTTTATCATGTATAGCCATGTAGAGCATTATCAAGTCACCTCTCGCTCTATGTAGAGTATAACCAAGTCATGTGTCGTTGAGTAGACCTTTATCAATTCGCCTAACGCTCGGTGTAGAGCTTTATTAACTCTAGTGCCTGTCCTGACTCGATTAAGCTCTACACAGATTGAGACTTGTTTTACAATCAGTGTCTTCAAAGCAAGAATGAAAAAAATAGTCTGTTAATATGTGAGTTCTCTCAGAATCTGTTATAAGTAGGATGTCAGGGGAAGGGAGGGAGGAGGGTGAGACAATGGGGGAGAGACAGTGAGGTGGATAGTGATAATAAAATCATTTATTTTAGGTAGGTATGAGAGATAGGGAGTAACTACGCTAAAACAGCGTCATGGTTGGGCGTAACGCTGATAGTGTCAGCGTCTCTGCCCTTCTTCACATAGATCAGCAGACTCGCAGCCTGGATGGGGGGGGGGACATCGTCCATGCCCAGGCCCTTCTAGGGTAGGGTAGGTGCCTGAGTCCGAGCCTTAAGCTCATAAGATGTCATTTCCTTATCCCCTTGGGGCGGGGGGATGGAGACCAGAGAGCTAGTTGTGGCTAAGGCCTTGGGACGGTAGTACCAAAGTTGAGGAGGTACTTGTGCTCCTCCATGGGAGATTAGGTATCAGACAATCCCTAAAGAGGGAGTCAAGGCCGGGCCAAACACTTGGAAAAAAGCCGGGCCGGGAGAATACGGCGCATCTTTAATTATAATAACTAATAATAAGACAAGAGGAATACGGCGAATAAAAAAAAAAAAGACCGAAGCATTGCTCTTATATGAGCCCATGCGGGACGGGGACTGGTGCTTGCATGAGGGACAGTTGGTCCAGAGTGTGTGAGGTACTTGTACTCTCCATTGGAGCATAGGTCTAAGGCGCTCCATGACGGGACCAAGACGGGTCACATCTGGAAAGTCCCGGACTGGGAGAGAACCGGCGGAATCAAGAACAACAACAACAATTAATGTCTTAAAAGAAATGGTTATAATTGACTTAATTTTTAAAGTGGTGGAGTGGTAAGCAGCGGGAAGCCTCAGTTAGATGACCAGGGTCATCTAACTGGAATAAGCCCTACTAACCTAACCTTTAATATTTTTTATTCATCCATTAGTGGTAGTCAAATATGGACAAGAAATGGCACCATGGGCCCAGGGACTGTACTCAAACTAAACAAGAGGTACTATGGGTCCAGGACGCACACTTTTGATAACGATGCGCGTTACGTGCTAAACGATATTTTTACACGTGTATATCTGGTACAGTAGTAATAGGTCATTTATGCAAGCATTGAATTCAGTAAAAATATCTGTGTAGCTAAATATATAACTTTCTGGAATTATGTACTTATTTATATTTTAGTAAGCTATGGTGAATTTAAAAAAAAAAGTTTAAGTTAACAGCTGGTTGATCAGGCTTTGAATTCCCAGGCCTGGTCAAGAGGGCGTGGGGGTGTTGAGTCCTGAACTACTCTTCAGGTAAACTCAGGTAATAGGTTAGGTATGGTAAGGTTCGTCAGAAAGAGAGACGTGTCTCTGACCGCGGGTCATAGTCAGATGATGACCCGCCGTGGAGACTTTTGGTCATCTGCAAGGCATTCGCTGGCTCTTACCGGTCCCCCTTTAAAATTCATGGTTGTTATAACCATCCTTTTTTCTGGTTTGGAATTATGACACAGTCAGTCAAGATATTTTTAGTTGGTGGAAATACATGTATACCATGTGGCATAAAATACATGTATACCACTGTGGATATAAATACATGTTCCACTCTGTGGATAAATACATGTATACCACTGAGGAATAAAAATACAGGTATACCAATTGGATAAAAATACTGTTACCATGTGGTGTACAATACTGTATACACTGTGGATAAAAATACATGTAACCACTGTGGATAAATTCATGTTTCACTGTGGAATAAATTAATGTATACACTGTGGAATATAATAACATGTATACCACAGAGATAAAAATACATGTATACCACTGTGGATAAAATACATGTCTTACCCATGTGGATAAATACATGTATACATGTGGATAAAATACATGTTACCTGGGGATAAATAATGTATACCCTGTGGATAAATTACATGTATACCACTGTGGATAAATACATGCTTATTCCATGTGGATAAACTACCCATGTTACCATGTGGATAAAATACATGTATACCATGTGGAAAATTACATGTATTCCAATGTGGATAAAAGACTGTTTACCATGGGTAAAATACACGTATACCACTGCAGATAAATACATGTTATAGCATGTGGATAATACATGTATTTCTTGAGGATAAAATACATGTATTACCATTGGGATTTAATACATGTATACCATGTGGATAAATTACAGGTATAACACTGTGGTAAATACAGGTAATTCCACTGTGGAATAAATACATGTATAACCAATGAGGATTAAAATACTTGTATACCACTGTGGATAAAAGACATGTCTAACCTGTGGACAAATAATGTTCCATGTGGATAAAATACATGTATACACTGTGGATAAAATACATGTATAACACTGTGGATTAAATTAATGTATACACTGTGGATAATTACATGTATACACTGTGGGATAAATACATGTATACCATGTGGAGCAAATACCGTATACCACTGTGGTAAAATACATGGTATTACCACTGTGGATAAAAAAATACTTGTATACCACTGTCGGGATAAATTACATGGTATTACCATGTGGATAAAATACATGTATACCACTGAGGATAAATTCATGTTATACCACTGGGATAAAATACATGTATACCATGAGATAAAAATTACCATGTATACAACTGAGGATAAAATACATGTATACCCACTGTGGATAAAATAAGTTTACCACTGAGGATAAAATACATGTTACCACTTGTTAAAAATCAGGATACAACTGTGGATAAATTCATGTTATACCTGAGGATAAAATACATGTATACCATGTGGAATTAAAATACATAGTATACCACTGAGGATAAAATAACGTTTATACCACTGAGATAAAATACATGTATAACATGTGGATTAAAATCCATGTATTTCACTGAGGTAAAATATGTATACATGTGGATAAATACATGTTACCATGTGGATAAATACATGTATACCCACTGTGGATACATAAAGGTATACACTGTGGATTAAAAAATACATGTATACCATGAGGATATAAAATACAATGTATACCCACTGAGGATAAAATACATGTCTACCACTGTGGACTAATACATGGATACCACTGTGGATAAAATACATGTATTACCATGTGGATAAAAATACATGTATACACTGTGGATAAATAAATGTATACACTGTGGATAAAATACATGTATGTACACGTGGATAAAATACATGGTATACCTGTGGATAAAATTACATGTATACCACTGTGGTAAAATACTTAAAAATTCTTAAGCATTTGTGAATGAATGATCTATGTATTTAATTTTTAACACATTTCATGCACAAAAATGAGCAGGCTGTTGAAAAGTAGCCCATTGGCGAGTTTACATCAGATCATTAAGATAAGCATGCTGGTTTGGTTTGGTAGTTGGATGGTGACCCTGGGAACCCCAAATGTTGTCTGGCATAAATGTTACTATGAAACATTGAATATCTTGCGATTATCCTGGGTAGTAACCTTCCGGGGCTAAAAAGATACGAAACACATCTAATCTTTCTTATCTTACATCAGCTGGTGATGTGACAAACTTCCAGTGATACATATCCACACCGGAGCCGGAAGGTAAATTATTAATTGTAAAAGTTATTTTTTTTACAGTACTTCTTCAATAATAAGACCATTCGCTGACATCACTTTCATACTACAAAGAAATCCTTATTATGCAAAGATTTTCAAACAACTTAGGTTAATTTTACCCAGGATTCCCACCCACATCAGTTCACTATCACCGGTACCGACCTACTGCTAGGTGAACTAGTCTGAGCAGGTGTTAGGTGACTAGACCAGGTACTCTTACTGCTAGATGAACAGAGGACAGGAGGCGTCTTAATGAAACAAGCCCACAACAAGCTTTCCCGGTACGGGGATGAAAGGATTCGTGTGTGAGATGAGTGCGCTACCAACCGAACTAGTGACAACCAAGAATCTGCTGATTATGATGGATGCAACATAGACATGTGGGTTCTGCTGCATGATAGAATAATGATAGGTGGGCTGACTGATGTCAGTCTCCCTCAGTCTCAAGTCAACAACGTTCAGTTGAAGTTCTTTTTCGTATTATTGTTCACAAACTGCTAAATGACAGCCCAAGACTGTTGTAATCCACTTCCTTCTTGAAGGTACATCAACACTAGGACCATCACCTTTGTATTCAGTAATTTACACTCTCCTCGCCTAATGAGTGGCTCCAGGGAGTGGACTTTCAGCTCCTGGCCCCACCTGGTTGGCGGCTACTGGGGTCACTCCTGGCCTTGTGAGGCTCATCATAACTATTTTTAAAGCTGCGTATGTACCCAACCTCCAACATTTCGTCAGGTGATTTTTTCATTACTAATGCAGCGACAACAATATTATTATTAATAATATTAATATTATTATTATAGTTATTATGTATTAATATTATAAGCAGTATTAGTTGTGGCAGTACCTTGGAATAGCGTTTGTGGATGGTCTCCCTCATTCTCTCCCTCTCTCCAACAGATGTGGTCACTGGTTGTGGTGGCGATGGTCGTCGTAGTGGTCACACTGGGTCCGACTGGCGTCCGTGGACGGTCCGTGGAAGGGTCGGTGAGGCTGGAACGACTGCTGTCGGCCGGGTCATCTTCAGCACCTCTGGGTTTCCTCTCACAAGATCACAGCCTCAACAAGAGACAAGTGTTCGACCAAGCTTGCAAAGGCGTCTATGACCGAGCACTCTTCAAGAAGCTTGACCGAGTTTGTGATGATTGTTACAACCTCTATCGTAAACCTTACGTTGCTGCCTCCTGCAGGTGAGCTGCCTACCACACCAGGTACTACGCTAGTTACACCTTCAGCTGCTCTGCTGAATGCAGTACTAGGTATCCCATCCTTAGTGTTCCATAAACTATACGTTGCTTTCCCTTGAAGGTGGGATGCCTACCACACCAGGTACACCTTCCGGTACTCTGCTAGAACTAGGTATCCCATCCTTAGTATCCCAAAGAATCCCTCCATGCAACACAGACCATACAATGTTGCTGCTTCTCGCAGGATAGCTGCTTACCACTCCAGGTATCTAGCTAGGTACACCTTCCAGTACTCTGCTAGATGTAGGACTAGGTATCCCTTCCTTAGTATCCCCAGGAATCCCTCCTTGTAACACACCATACGTTGCTATCCCCTGTCGGGGAACTGCCTTCCAAGACAAGAACCACGCTAAGTGCACCACCAACCACCTTACTGTGTACCCCTCTACATACACCAAGTCTTCTCCTATAAGGTACCCCAGTTCGATCCACTCTTTCCCTGTCTGAATCTCTTGCCACAGTTCGATCCTTCACTTTCAAGAATCGATTTTTTTGGTTAACCAATTTTCTTGGTTTTTGTAATATTATAGTTTAGTTTAATTTATGTTTTGTTCCTAAAATTAATTTACTCTCTAAAGGGTATTTAATTATTTATTGCATTTTTACTGTTATATTATTTGAGTTACATAATAATTTTAATTATTTTATATAATTTAACTTTTTTTTAATATGGAAATATGTTGTGTGTTTCAATACTGATTTCTCTTATTTATTTATTTTAATTAAACTTAAAATTTGGGTTTCATATAAGTATTATCAATTGTTTGATAATAATTTTAATTTATCACCAGTTGGTCCTTTATTTCCCACTTTTAATAAGTTCTTCCTCCCCCTCGCTCGTTTTCTTGGCAACATAACAGGGATAACTGCTTCAGTGGTAAGGCATTCCCAGTGTGTGTGAGGGAACTGGGCCTGGACCTGGGGATGTACATCGACATTAGGGACATGATCAAAGGCTAGACCCTGGCCCTTCAGCAGGCACTCAGGAGCATCCTACAAGTGCCACACCTCCTGGAGGAATGCAACTATAACCAAAGGGATTATTTTGGTAAACTCGTACAAATCTTTCGTATATTGATCTAACAAGGTAGTACTCGTAAATGGACACACATGCAACTAAACTTTATTGTGGCAACGTTTCGCTCTCCAGGAGCTTTGTCGTTACAAACATTACGAGGACACAGAAGGTGTGTATATAAGTACCACATGAGGTGAAAGATAGGTAGTAGTTGCATCTATGTCCATTTATCTTAAATTTTGTCGGTAATTCTGACAAGGTATTCATTTTCAATTGTATATTACTACTCTTCTACAATTCTAAATTATTTACAGAATTAAGTCACACACTTATAATTTGCATACTAAGTTTAGTTTTCTAATATCAGTTATTTTGTTTTTGGAGATTTAGTTTATTTATAAAAAAAACTGAGTATTTTACTGCCACTGTTAGTGGCACTTAATATTCACTTGGTATTAAGGGTCTTAGTGTATAATGGTCAAGGACCCCAGTGGAAATAAGACTCTGTTTTTTTTATTTATTCTAGGTAATTTACACATATATTACTATGTATGATAATTTGTGTAACTGTATTTATGTGTACCTGTAACAAAATACACTACTATGGCTCTTAGTCCATGGCGTTTCACCTTCATGTACTAATTAATAATCATCTTCCACAGGGGAAACTGCTACAGTAACATGGTGTTCCGTCAATGTCTGGATGACTGCTCCTTGTAGACGTTGTCGACGAGTACATCTCCGGCGTCCAAACTGTCGGCAAATAAGTCGATGTGTCTACCATAACTACCCATGCCTCATCTTACCATCTCCTCCACAACACAAGCCACTTCCTGCCACAAATACTACTAACACCACCATCTGGTACACCTCGCCCGCCACAGCTACCAAACTCCCCCATGATAATAATCAACTGTTGATCTGACCGAGTCTGTGTGACTGTGAACTTAAGACATTTTTGACCACTTGAGGAAGCTGTTGGATGACTGTACACTTTCTTAATATCTTGATAACTAATAGCGAATTTCCGGACTCCCTGAGCAAGTTGAAGCCGTCAAGAAACATGCTAGTGCGTTATTTTGTTGATACTGCAATTTAAAGTCGGTATCACAAGTGTAAGGAAGCCAGTGAGGGCTGAGACACAATCTCAGACCTATAAACGTCCAGGAACTCCTAAATGTTCCTCCAGAATTGAAGAATTAGACACATGTACAGCATTAGATGTTGCACATGTGTCTAATTCTTCAAATTGTGTTGAATACTATATATGCACATCCTCCAGAATTACCAGAGGAACAGTCGGAGCGCCAGTGCTTCTCCCTAGTGGGCCTGGAGAGCAATAGTCCAATAAACTGCTTGAATTACCACAGAATAATTATCGAAGGAAACCACCCACCCGGAGCCACTATCACATGGACTTGGAGTCACCATCACCTGAGAAGTCACTATCAGTTGACAGTGTGTCCTACCCTCTTCCTAGTCAATGGCAGCTGTTGTCGTTCCGTTATTGATGGACTCGTATATACAGATAAATATTTATATATTGACATATATGACTACCTTCAGGTATATCATTATTATTCGCTCATTTGAGCAACAGTCATTGTGAGTGTCTCAATCACTATAATTTCTAGTTATAATATTATTGAAGACAAGATTATAGCTATAGACGCGAGTTGAGGAGTCTCACTGGAGGTGTTCAGTAATACACAATGATTCTTCTCTAGTTTTGAAGTCCCGGGGAATAAAAAAAAAAGTCCCGGCGAATCAAGAAGGAAGGAAGTCCACTTAATACCTTATATGTCTCTAGACGAACTTGTACGAAGTTTGTGAGACATTTGTATCCTAAGATGGTCTTAGACAGGTCTGCGACATGACTAACTAATGTTAAGGACTAACTTGTGTAAAATCTTCCCAATTTTTTAACTTGCTTCGTAAGTAAGAGATTTGGTAACCCATGAAATTTGAGGCAGGTTAAAATATTTATTTAGTTTGTTGTTGGTAATCAGTCAAGAATCTCATCATATGTACCAAAGATTAGCAGGGGCGTTGACCCCCAGAACTCTCTCCAGGTAAACTCCAGTGAGAGACAAATAAGACATTCCTCAGGTGGCACATTCACCAAGATTAGCATGTGAGAGCACAAATAAGCATTCTCAGTGCACGATATCCACCAATATTATCATAGTGAGAGACAAATAAGACATTCCTCAGGTGGCACAATATCCACCAATATTATCATAGTGAGAGACAAATAATGACATTCCTCAGGTGGAACGATATCCACCAATATTTCTTGTGTGTGGGAATAAAACTGGATTCATGAACCATATTTGTTTCTCCTTTTTTTTCTATACTAATTCATCAAAAACACAACAAATGAAGTCACAAATAACTATACAATCCAACCAAATAGTTGCTGGAAAATTGTTGGTTTTCAGGTGTGAAGTCTGTGTGCATGAGGGTTACTGAGGATTCTTGTCACGTGTGCACCACCAGTCAAGGAGACTGTAATGCCTTAAAAAGCGATTAAATATACTTTATATGCATACACAGAGAGAAACATCTCTTCGTGTATATATCATTGTAAAATAAAAATTTATATATATATATATATATATATATATATATATAATATAATATATATATATAATATATATATATATATATAATATATATATATATATCTATATATATATATATATATATATATATATATATATATATATAATATATATATGAAACCCGCCATGCTGGGAGAGGCAGACTAGGTTTGGAGAGAATCATCTGGGCACGTTGCAAGTCACCTAGGAGGTTGTAACATCAACAGCAGAAATTCGTTCAGTCCACTGGAGACGCTAGTGGAGGCCAGCGTGGAGTGTGGTGTTCTCTATAGATGATACTCTCAAGCACATTCTACCATCAAAATAGGAAAGAATCATAAGACCTAAGTACAAAATTTTGACGTGTAAATAAAATACATCACCATTTTATCTGCTACCAGCTACTACAACCACCTCCATCATCAGTACGAATCCACAACCACACATTCCGCAACACACCTCTCTACATCCACCTATCGTCCGGCGGTACTAAGACTCAAGGACGCAGCCGCTGGACGCAACTTCTGCAGCACCCAGACGTTGCCGCTTCTGGAAGCCAAGTGATGGATGCCAAACAGGAGGAAGCAAGCAGCCAGGGAAATGGCACGGCTGGCAATACTAGGAGAGGCAAGTGTCGGTCATGCTTACAGCTTCGTTGTCTCAGCTCTATTGGTTTCCTCCGCAAACACGGCAGTTGCCCTGGTTCAGGATGTCCTCCTGTGGAAAGTGATGATCCAGAGCCATCTCAGGCACCTGAACCCACTCCAACAGATCTCATCTCATCAGACAATATCTTGGAAGCAATTAAAGCAACAGGTACGAGGACATTCACACATATTCCCAAAGCAGCCCGTCCACACGCAGCTGGGAAACTTACAGACCTCCTGAAAAAAAGTAAACAATGGTTCCACTATTTTAAATGCTCCACCAACCATCAAGGCACGGCACAACTTGCTACTTTTTGGCAATGTCTGCTTAGCTGTTCTGGAAAGAAGGGGAAAGAGACTAGCCTCAAGGATAATTAAATACTTAAGAGATTTTCCTAGAGCTGATAACCTCATTTTTCTTCCCCATCAACACAAAAAAGGGAGAGGCAGAACCCCCACTCACTCCACTGACAGTTAAAAAGTCAGAGTCTAGGTGAGCAAGAAAACTGAAGAGGGCAACACAGTGGGGGCAATCAGAATTATTACCAGTGAAGATACAGTTGCTCCCAGGGATGCTGACACGTCTGAAGCACTTAGAGGAAAGCACCCTGCCAGGGAAACCAGTGGCACCAACAGTTCCAACACCTCTGTCCCCACTGTGGAACCATTGATTGTGGAAGACTCAGACATTTACAAAGCAATAATGTCGTTCCCATCTGGCTCTGCTGGGGATTACACTGGAATAAGGCCACAACATTTAAAGGAAATGGTTAATCCAGTTATTAGGGAAATTGCAGAGACACTGCTTTCAGAGATCACAAGGTTCGTCAACAATTCCTTGGCCGGTCTGATTTCTGATGATATTAGACCTTTCTTTTTTGGTGCAACACTTTGTGCACTTAAAAAGAAGGATGGAGGAATTCGGCCAATTGCAATAGGCAACACGTTACGCCACCTCGTATCCAAAGCTGCTGTCTGACGTATTCATGCAGAGGCAGCCATGATGCTTCAACCAAACCAGCTTGACTTTGGGGTCTCTCAAGGAAGTGAAGCAGCGGTTCATGCAACAAGGGCGTATATCAACAACCTGCCCGAGGACAATGCAGAGGTAAAATTAGATTTCAAGAATGTATTCAGTCTCCTGAAGAGAGACGTGGTATTAACAGCAGTACAAGAACATTTCCCTGGTCTCTTCCCTTTTGTTTCACGGGTATAGAAAGAATCAATCTTTTTTTTTGGGAAGCAGAAATTACATCATCGGAGGGGGGGCCAACAAGGAGACCTCTTGCACCTTTTCCTCTCATACATTGGGGAAAATCACAGTCAAACTGACCACGAGCAAACATCGGTTCCAGATACTACACAAAGCATACAAAAGTCCCTCCTACATGATCTTACACAGGTAATGACCGGGACGGGAAATGGGTCTCACCCTAAATCCACCAAAGGAAACATTTTGTCAATAAAGATAAAGCAGTAGATCAAAACTACCAGGAGACATCATTGCCCCCAAAAATGGGGTTTTTGCAAGGACCCCTCTGGAAGCAATGCCAACAAATTCACGAAGAAATTGAAATTTAAAGGGAAAAGGAAAAAACGAATAGCAATCTGGACACCCACTATCCCTTTCCTTCTCAAAAAAGGTTTTGAGTCTGCTCATTGCATATTTCCAAAGATTGCACCTTCAATGAAAACCCTAACGCACAATATACTATCCGGGAGGCAGATTTTACAAAGTATTAACCACCTAGAAAACGGCAGGGGAACCAAGCTACACTTCCATCAGACTAGGGGGCATTGGGTCCGAAAGTTACACAGATTCGCTCCCCTGTTTTTTCTTCCTCTGTATTACCCAAAGGGGGCGGGAGCACGTTTCTCCCAACTCTTAGGACAAGATTGGAGTCCAGACCAAAATTCATTGACGGACCATGATCTGGGTAATCTAACGGGCCTAAACCAACCTTTTCCCCCCCCAACACTAAAAACAACCACTGATGGTCCAATAGGGAAAATATAGCCTAAACATGCTTCAGAGTGTTCGGGGAAGGAAACCCCGCCTCCTGCAGTGAAGCCCCCTCATGCGGGGACTTCGTTAGCTTTCCAACTCCCCTTTGGGCACACGCCTCGCCCCCACAACCATCTGCAGGGTTTTCCCTTCGACTTGCCTCCCCTAATCACCAACCGGGGTATTGTGGGAGTGAAGCAGCAGACCGATTCGGGCCATGGTCTTGTGTCCGAAAATCCGAGGGAAAGATGCAAACATGAGGAGGGTTTTAAATTATCAAAAGGGGCCTCCAACAGCGTGCCCAAAAAAAGGAGCCACCCCAAAAGCAATCATGGGAGCCCGAAGGTCCAAAAGGAACACCCTTCAAGCCTGAAGATGGGGAACAGGGGGTGTAGACTACATTGGCATCTACCTGGGCTGATACCTATTTCCCCAAAACACCCGGGAGGAAGGGGGGCAGCGCCAGCTTCAGGGAGCCCCCAAAAAACTAAAAATAAGAAACTTCCCCTCTTAAATTTTTTTTTCCCATAGCCAGAACCCTGGGCCCGGGGGAAAGAATCATCCAAAAATTTCCTTTAAAGGAAACTGGGGAAAAACCATCAGGGGAACTAGGGATCCAGGCAGCAGTTTTTTTGTTCCCCCCGGGTCTGCGACTGCCAAAGGGGGAATGACGCGTATTTTGGGGACACGCCCAGCCTGAGGACGAGAATTTTTCGATTAAAATCGGGGCACACACTAACAAAATTTTCCGTAAATTGCCACCTTTAATCAACCCGTATCTCTTAAATCTTCTGTACCATATTATGTAATAAAATATTCCCATATATATGTATTGATTAAAAGCTCCAGCTGTGGGTCATTATACAACTAAGACCAGCGTCAGGAAACACTTGTCCTGTTTCCTGACAAACCTTACCTAACCTAACCTAGCATTCCTTAGTGTATCATGTGGGAGTTCGATACGTGGATTAGGTAAGAAATACTCACGTAGGCTGTTATTACGTATAATTGCTGTTATGTGGAGAGAGCCCTTGCCAGCCGTACCTATCTCCTTGGTTACACTCGTAATACTGACTAGCCGGCTGCCCACAGTACCCAGTGAGTGGGTCTTTTGAAATAGTGTCAGTTCAGCGCAATATGAAAGACCGTGACTCAGGCAGAGACGGTTGGTCGTTGAGTCACGGACACTGGTTACTGGTAACTGGTTACTACTGAGACTGGTAACTGGTTACTACTACTGAGAAGTGTACAAACAAGAAGTTGGTATTGTACTTCTGTATATGTGTATCTCAATGAACTGTGTATTCAGTGAGATGTTTATATATCTGCACATACACTGAGGTTTACATATATCTCTGTATATGCATTGAAAGTTTAATTTAATCCCAGTTTTAGTTATTAATATATTTTTGTCAGGTGGTGCACAGATGTGACATTAATGATCCTACTGTAATAGACCTGAAACAACAAATTAACTAACTAAAGTTAGTGTGAGTTGTGTGTGTCTGGGTGTTGACCTGCATAAAAGAGGAACTTTCAC